TTCCTCCCGAGTGACTGCTACAGGCGCTTGAATTTCCTATTGTGGGTTTGGGTGACTACAAGCTAGTCTGCCTGGGACACTCCTGAGTTATGCCTGATGTTCTAGCAAAGTTCATGAACAGCACTCCATTGCACTCTCAAAAGTGCCCCTGTTTACACAATGAATCATATGTTTGCTTTAATTGCAGGGTCGTATATTCTACTTACGAGCTGATTGATTCTTACTAATATGAAATCTGAAAAGAACAGGAGGTGAGAAGAAGCTGGGATCCGTTGTATGTATTTATCACTCGGAAAACTCATCAATGATATGAATGCTGCAGTCACCCATTTACCAAAACCCTACTCGCTGAAATCTGACACTGTAAAGTGAAACCACAGTTGAAACAGCGTCATTTCTGGAACCAGGGAGACCTAAGTTCTGCCCAGCAATAGAGCTGCGACCTTGGGAAACAAAGCTTCCTGGGCTCCAAATGGCAGCTCCGCGCAATGCGAACACCACCTCTGTGGACCACGGCAGGGGTGTTGTGGAGTTTAGAGATAATGTATGCAAATGCCTGCAACGGGTGCCTGATAAAGCACTCACTCAATGACACGTCACTGTTCTTTCCTGAAATAAAGTATTCTTCATTAAAAAGATAATGAACAATAGGAAACGGGCCATAATCAAAATAGGTTAGGCTACTAAAAAGGCCTGAAGAAGGAGTGAAAAAGGAAAGCTGAAGTAAAAAATAAATCTTCTTATGGAAAATAAAATTATTTTGCATTCTCAGCACCAGTGGAACAGGGTGAGCATGTACTAATGTTGTTCCTCTCCTCCTTCATTTTCTGTCATTGCCATATTTCCCCCATCTTCAGATCCTTCAAATGCTAGAAAATGGATAGAGTGAGGAATCTGAGATTGGTGAGGAAAGAGAAGGGAGAGGTCGGCGTGGGTGGAGCTGCCCAGTTTACCTCCTTGACTGTATGTCTAGTCCTCTCCCATACAGTAAAGCCTTGTGGAGCAGACTGCCTACAGAGATCGTGGGCGCTCTGTCCGTGAACAGTTCAAAGGTAAAAGAGAGGCAAAGGCAGGGGGCGGAGCAAAGGATCTCCTGAAGTCTTCCTAAGCTTAGGATTCAATGTTCATTTTCTTCTAAAATCTCTTAAGGGACAAGCGACTTGCTCATGCTTCGTACATTTTTTAATAGATTACAGACTATTTAAGGAAATCCCCTGCAAATTTAGAATTTAAAGTTTCACAGTAAAAACTGATCCACAGTGAAAGGTATTTTTGTATGTGGCTAAACAAAAACTTCAAACATTAAATAAAAGCCATTTGAAAACTGAGGTTTCGACTATTTTGAGTGAAAAAAAAAAAAAGACATGGAACACAAAACCATAGCATATAAAGCCACGGAAAGTCTGTTCTCTTCCAAAAGGGGTATGATTTACAGAGTAGTACCAACCCAGGAAAGGAAAGTTTCTAAATGGCACAGGAAGAATGTGACCCCCAGAGTGTTTCTTGGGAGTGAGTCACTTAGGCACAAACGAAGTGAATGTCGAGATGCTAATGGTTTACTCCATTCATAATCCACACTGCCCATCCCCAAGTGAATCAATCTCTTTAATTTTATACATTAAATGAGTCAACATCTGAATTCATTTCATCAGCCTTTAGTTAAAAGCGTTAGCAACTTTGTACGTATTTTCACATTCTATCTAACTTATTATCAACATTAAAATATAGAGCTATCAAAACCATATGAAGTAGATGAATTTACACCCAGATGGCACAATTCAAAAGGTCAGGAGTGGAAGTTAGGAATAAAAAAGCAAAAAAAAACCCTATGATTCCCGTTACCCCTGATTGCAACCTTGGAGTGTGGAAAATAGAGAAGAGAGAAGAAACTAAGCAAAAGATAGGTCTTTCAGTGAAGAGGGACCATCACATTCAACCCACTTTCTGGAAATCCACATTGGCCATCATTTTTGAATAAGCCTAGAAAGTCTACTGGGGACATCCGTGCAGTACTCAATGTCCTTATTTATGTGACATTTTCCCTAAATGAAAGTTATTAGAAACTTCAGTGGCTGTTTCCACAAATTGGTCCTCTAAAAGAAGACAGTAATATCAACAGAACAGTGATACTAAGTGAAATTAACTTTTGGAGATTTAGAAAACACACAAGTTTGAGAGATAAGGAAGTCTAAATGAGAGACAATTATTTAAAACAAGTTATTATGATGGGAGAATAGTTTATAAGACAGACATAAGGAGCCACAGTGATTTCAAGGTGGCAGATTCTAGACTTAACAGAGAGGTTTTGAAAGCATTTGAGAATATCAACCAAATCAAATAAAAATTACTCAATTGAAGCAAATGGGAAATTCCTTGAAGAGTAAAATATTTTTTAAAAAAACTTACAAAACTCTTCAGTTATACAAAGCAAAAAAAGATGACTGAGAAAAGTATCACTCCCTTCCTTGGCAAAAACGAGATGAGTAAGTGTAAAAACACTCCACTTGAAACAAGTTACCTTTGTTTTTCTAAAAAAGTATTAAAAATCAGTTTTCCGGAATTAACGCTACATACAGAAACTAAAAATAAAAACTATATTTGGGGAAAAGGTAACAGAAAGATGTGATTCTGGACTTATTCTAATCAATAGGTTCCAAAGAACAGATTTTATAGAATAATCAAAGCATGTGGGTGTCAACGGTCATTTGACCGAGAACTGCGATAGTATAGAAGCATGAGCAAGAAGAAAAGGGGAGAGTACTGGGTCCTAGTTACTATCACTTGCTTTTTTACAATCATTTCTTCATTTGAGCTTTTTTCTTTTTAAGTGAATTTTGAAAAGTTAGAGTATAACATAAAACTACAACAGCAGTTATGTCTGTTAATAAAAACTTCATTTAAGAAATTTAACCTAAGAAATCACAACTGCACTGACTTTTTATAGGATTTGAAACATGTCATTATCATCTTAAAAGCTATCCTGTTTTCTCTTCACCTAAGAAAAGAGACCCTGTTTTATTTAGCATATCACCTCTTAAAAGACATTTTACAAAATATGCAATCTGAGTGAAGGAGGCAACTCATAGCTGTACTTATTAAAAAAAAAAACAGAATGGGGTCAGAAAGTGGCTCAGATGGCTCAGATGGTTGGACATCGACCTGTGAACCAGGCGGTTGCGGTTTGATTCCCTGTCAGAGCACATGCCTGGATTGTGGCTCAAACCCCAGTAGGGGGCATGCAGGAGGTGGCCAATCAATGATTCTCTCTAATTAATGATGTTCCTATCTATCTCTCCCCCTCCTTTCCTCTCTGAAATCAATAAAAATATATTTTTTAAAAACACACACACACAAAAAAAACCCACACACAAAAAAAAACTTTTCTCAGACCTGTAAGGTTTCTGGAAGTGCAAAGTTTTGCACGATGTTCTACAATTCAATGAGAGTTCTTTGAAAGTTGAATGCCCTACCATTAAAACAGTGATCGTAAGGAAACAGATGTGCAACATTAACCTGCAAAGGAAAGAGGACATGTCACTTACATGGCTTCTTGGGGCATTTCTGGCATTTGTGAAAGCCCCAGGAGGTCCCCACGGTTCCACAGCAGTCCTCCTGCTTGGAGAGGCCAGGGAGCGCTTTGCCACACTGCAATGATGGGGTGTGAAATACGCAGGTTAATTGAGTGCAGGACGCCCCATTCTAGAGCACTGCTGAGCTTCAGCCACATTATAAAAGTCATGTTGTTATCAACAGAGTTAGAGAGGGGAAAAACACCTCTAAAACTTCAAAACAGAACACCATGACGGAGTCAAGACCACACGGAAATGAACAGGCGTATTTCTAGAGCTTCCTGGCATTGCTGGTCTTATGAGAATGTGTGATTGTTCAGAGCGCTCTATAAAACTTACGTTTCCAAGCCCTTTTTTCTCTTACTAGAACCTGAAAATGTAAAAGATCAACATAAACCTTTAAAATTTTAGTTTCAACTATCAGCGGATCATCAGGAAACGGCACTCCAAGGGCAGGGTAGGTGTGTAAACCTTGAGAATGTGGCACAGATCCCATCTACAAGGGGCTGTTGGTCTCCCTGTAACCCCAAGGCCCGGGCAGGGAAAGAACAGAAAGGACAATACACGAAATGCTCACTGGCTGAGCCAGATCAGCTCTCACAGCTCCAGCAGTGGCGAAGGCGCCAGGCAGCCAAGCGGACTGACCTAGGAGGTCGGCCAAGCTAGGAAGACACTGGCAGGTTTAAACGAGACCAGGAGGCAGAAGAGCAGGGCTCGGAGGTCACTGACCAACTGGAGCTGCCCAATGTAAAGATCCATCTCATGACCTGGGTCAACCACAGGAAGTCAGGGAAGATGCATCTCATGACCTTGGTCAACCACAGGAAGTCAGAGGTCTGAAGAGAAACCAACTCAGTAAGGTTGGGAAGGTCTAGGAAAGCAGGCCCTGCTCTGTGTGCCGAGCCTGAGGGCAGCTGTGCAGGGAGGATTACTCCACCCCTACTGTGCAGGCTAAGCCCACATCTCAGGGGTCAGTCCATGGCCTTCATCTGCCTCAGCCTCCACAAAATCCTCTAGCGGTTTCAAGAGTCATCTTTCCAAAGACAAATCTGATCACATTCCTCCACGGATGACACACCGGCAGTGACTCCCACTGTCTGAAGGCTGCAAACGCCCTGGCCTGACAAAGAAGGTCCTTCCTATTCCTGCCTAAGACAGCTTTTCTGACTTTCTCTCTGCCCCGCTTCACCTCTCTACACCCATGCTTTAGGCTTCCTAAAAGACTACAGTTTTCTAAGCTGTCTTTCCGAAAGCTGTGCCTTCTCTTTCTGATGGCCCTCCCTTTTTCCTTTGCCCAGAGAAACTTTCTTATTTCATGAGCCCCAACTCTGAGTAACCGTCACGGGAAGCCTCATGTCTCCTCAGTTTTAGCAAGTTCCTCCCTCCTCATTCCTCCGGCACTTTTCTCACAGTCCCACAGTCTCTGCAATGCATTTTACTTGAATGTAGACGTATCTTATTTACCTTTATATTCCAGTGCACAGTGCACATTGCAAATGCTCAATAAATGCTTGAGGGAGGGAGAGAGAGATGCAAAGAGGGAGGGAGGGAGGGAGGGACCAGTTGCCATCCACCCAGTGCACATCCACCCAGTGCACATCCACCCCACCTTTCTGTGAAAAGCAATGGAAATCAGCCAACGCACAGAGGCCAGTGAGCAGGACACTGTGGCAGCAAGTCGGGCAGGTGGTGTGCCTTCCAAAGGCAGCAGGGAGTAGACACGGTCACCTGGCAGCCTCCAGGGACAGTGTTCTTTCCCATGGGTCCGGGCATGCTGCATTCTGACTGAGGCGCTAAGTGACCAAATTGAAAAATGAAACCAGAGGTGGCCCAGCCCAGTTCATGAATTTTCAGTTATATCATAGCTTTGAAGTCATTAGGTTGTGTGTTTGTTTGTGGTTTTTAATGATTCTGGCAGGATGTTGTGTGCGCTCCAAAGCTGGAACATGGGGGGGGGGGGGGGGGGGGGGGGTGGGGGGGGGGGGGGAGGAGACAAATGTAATACTCTTTGTAATACTTCAAGCAATAAATGGGAGAGAGAACACATGAACAAATGGAGAACGTGAGAGAGGAAAACCACAGACTGGCTGATTGAAGTAGTACCCAGACTCCTTCAGTTTAATCTCAGAGGCTGCCATGTGAAATGCAAGGCAAGGATGAAGAAAGAGGCAGCCATGCTCCAGGCATACGACTAGGAACACAATGGTCATGTTAAGAAAAGGTGAAGGGATTGAGAAGTACAAACTGGTAGTTACAACACAGTCACCGGGATTTAGCTAGAGCATTAGGGAATATAGTCAATATACTGTAATAACTACGTATGGTGCTGGGTGGGTACTTGACATACCAGGGGGGAACACTTCATGAAGTATACGACTGTCTAACCACCAAGCTGTGCACCTGAGACTAATACAACAGAATATTGAATACAAACTGTAATTGAAAAAAATATTTTAAAAAAGGACACAGCAGTCTCCACTGTGGCGATCTGCTGTCTTTCCAGTTTTGTCCATCAGACTTATGCGAGACACCAGTGCACATCACATGTTGATCACTCTTGTATCAGGCTCTTCGGGTTCTTCTCTTCATCATGCAAAACTCTCAGCACTCACTGATTTTATATGCTCAAACATTTAGTAGCAGTTAAAATCCAATTTTCACATTGGATTCCCAGAATGTTTGACTTGGTATGACGAAAATAAATCATGTCTCTCTACCGGGCCTCACAAAAGGTACCAGGTTTTCGTTACAGGACTCGGGCCGCTTTATCCCAGGGCTTTGTTTTTGCAGGTCCACAGCCAAGAGCAGCACAAGCCTTCCAAATTGATGAAATAAACGGCCGTGTAGGTGGTACCAGACACTGTGTTTCTTCCCCAAACTGGGTCTGCACAGCATGAGAACAGGCTACAAGGGATGAAGGCAGGCTTACAACAAGGCACTAGGTTCTAGGTATGTACCCCTTTAGTGTTTGAGCTATGAAGAGCTTTCAACATGTGGCCAGAAACTCCACCCGAGAAATCTTTGTGGCCATGCTCAGGGCTCTCGCACGAGACGACCCAATACCATAGGTCCTCCCTGGATGTGGGAAATAGTTAGAGGAAATGAAGGCAGAGAAAGGATCTTCTCTCCTCCATGCCGAAAGGCCACATGGGAGAGGCCACATAGAAGAGGATGCTGGAATTCAAAGTCTCCTCTCAGACGGGAGGATTCTGCTTCTCCATGAGACATAATTACATGGACACAGACTGATTCTGCCTAACTACATTTATATGCCCAGATTGAGGTGAGTTTTACAAGTGAAAAACACAAGTGGAATTTCTCCTATGTGAATCATTCACCACATTTTCAAAGAAAGCCAGTCTCTCATTTCACGGCATACCATGTGCATAAGCAATCCAGGAGAAGCGTGCTACACTTACAACCCAATGTTCAGCTATTTCAAGTCAGAAAGAAAATTCTATCCTGTCAAAGGGGCAATGCGCTATAGCTCCCCCCAAAATTCACACCACTCCATGCTGCAGGTTAGGGGACACTGAGTCCACACACCCATGCTAGGATTCTGCAAATGCATGACCCATGTAGAGCAGTGCAAAGGGAACAATGAAGGTTCTTGTGAGAAACCGCCTATTGTCTTCACTAGCAGAGAGGTTCAGACAGAGAACCAGGAAGGCTGGTGACTTCTGAGGTCCTAGCAAATGTCAGAGCTGTGCACCACCTTTGTTAATCCAGATAATGGTAGCTGAAGCAACCTCCCCACCTTTCCTCATGTAAATCCTTATTGATAAAATAGTCTGTGTGTCACTGGAACCTCCCTGCCTAAGGGCTATGGGTGTATCCCATACCAATAAAAGCTTGGAGAGGCTTGAGCACAGGAGGAAGTCCTTCCCCTCGAGTTGGACTTACCAGCCTGGCCCCCCAATATTCCCAAATTATCTCTTGTCTCTTCTCTTTCATTTGTGTGCGGCTCCTCTTCCAGATCCTGAACCCTGAACCACGCGGGACATAGAGGGAAACATTTACCACAGGTTCTGGCAACCATGCCCCGTGGGTACCAATTAAAGGAAGTAGAAAAAATAAACACTACCTGTAGCCATGATGACAGAGTTCATATATGTTAAAATGTGTTTCATGAAGCTAGTTACATGATGAAGTAAGACTAGTTACAAGTCCTATTAGTAGGACTTGCGGCTGCAAGTCACAGGAAGAGAGGACCCAACTCATTAAGCAGGAAACCATTTCAACATTTAATGCCCCTCAACAATGGAAGATACTGACACCTTCACTCGGAGCACAGACTGAGTGAACACCTCTCAGGAATGCTCAGAATATAAAGCAGATGACTTCTATGGTGTATGCCAGGTCTAGGGTTCTATGTTCAATATACTGTATACTGATTTTATATATATATGATTTAGGAAATGTAAATTAGTAGACACTAGAGCCAACCTCAAGTACCTCTGTTGCTCTCACATCTATAACAGGACCATGTCAGATGCACTCCTAAACACCTCTTTTGTCTTACTTCCTCACTCATCAACAGCTCCAGAGATGCTCACTCCAGTCTGAGCCTTCTCCTACAGGATCATGCAAACTATATGGAAAAGTAAAAAAACACACACAAGTAGAGATACTCCTGACCCTGATTAACCAGTACAGTGACCATGATTCTTAGAAAACTGGGTGCATGAAAATGACACTTTGACCCTGTTGTTATATCTCCTTGAGCACCATGCCTCAGAAGGTGAAGCTATTCGAGAATCATTAGAATTACTTCACGAACATCCATGTTATAACACAAAATTATTACATTGTGCTGGGAAAAACCTTCAATGTTGAGTGGTTACGAATTAACAGACTGCAAGATTATGTACTTTTCTAAATCTTGACCTGGTTGAGAACACTTATCAGTAGACTTCATCCTCAATTTTGGAATAGTGCCATAGTACTTTCCTGGCCAACCTGTGATTACAGATGTTTTTAGAGCTCCCTCTAAATACATAAGCTGGAATGATAGCTCGAAAACTTATTTGGCAATCAAGGCTTACAATTTTTATTAATTAAAAACTCACCACTGGA